AACATCTCTTCCTTCCTTCCTTCCTACCTACCTACCTTGCTTCAATCCATCCTTCCTTCCTTCCTTCCTTCCTTCCTTCCATCCATCCATCCTTCCTTCCTTCCTACCTACCTACCTTGCTTCCATCCATCCATCCTTCCTTCCATGCAACATCTCTTCCTTCCTTCCTTCCTACCTACCTACCTTGCTTCCATCCATCCTTCCTTCCTTCCTTCCTTTCTACCTACCTTGCTTCCATCCATCCATCCTTCCTTCCATGCAACATCCCTTCCTTCCTACCTACCTACCTACCTACCTTGCTTCCATCCATCCTTCCTTCCTTCCTTCCTTCCTTCCTTCCTTCCTTCCTTCCTTCCTTCCTACCTTGCTTCCATCCATCCATCCATCCATCCTTCCTTCCTTCCTACCTACCATGCTTCCATCCATCCATCCTTCCTTCCATGCAACATCTCTTCCTTCCTTCCTTCCTACCTACTTACCTTGCTTCCATCCTTCCTTCCTTCCTTCCTTCCTTCCTTCCTTCCTTCCTTCCGACCTACCTTGCTTCCATCCATCCATCCTTCCTTCCATGCAACATCCCTTCCTTCCTACCTACCTACCTTGCTTGCTTCCATCCATCCATCCTTCCTTCCATGCAACATCTCTTCCTTCCTTCCTTCCTTCCTTCCTTCCTTCCTTCCTTCCTTCCTTCCTTCCTTCCTTCCTTCCTACCTACCTACCTTGCTTCCATCCATCCATCCATCCATCCTTCCTTCCTTCCTACCTATCTTGCTTCCATCTATCCATCCTTCCTTCCATGCAACATCCTTTTCTTCCTTTCTTCAATCCATCCATCCTTCCTTCCTTCCTTCCTTCCTTCCTACCTACCTTGCTTCCATCCATCCATCCTTCCTTCCTTCCTACCTACCTACCTTGCTTCCATCCATCCATCCATCCATCCTTCCTTCCTTCCTACCTATCTTGCTTCCATCTATCCATCCTTCCTTCCATGCAACATCCCTTCCTTCCTTTCTTCCTTCCTACCTACCTACCTTGCTTCCATCCATCCATCCTTCCTTCCATGCAACATCCCTTCCATCCATCCATCCATCCATCCATCCATCCATCCATCCATCCATCCATCCATCCATCCATCCATCCTTCATTAAACAAACTAAATTAATTGGATGTAAAGAAAAATAAAAATTCTGAACAGAATGAAACTCAAACAAAGCAGAGAAAATGAATCTGAGAAGTTGTGGCTTCGCTGCAGAAGGACTCATAGATTAGAGCTGAAGGCCTGATCACTTGGACCTACCAGCTGTCTCCTCAGCACCAGGAGGTTCTCCTCGCAGTGAGCAGCGCTCCGCTCCTCCCTCAGGGCGCTCAGGACCAGCAGCTCCTGCCGGTGCCGCAGATACTCCAGCTCTCCGAGAACCGACACGATGAGCTGCAGCCGCTCCCGGACCGGCGGCGCCCTGTGCCGGCCGCCTGCATCCCGCCGGGAGGCTGCGAACAGCGGCATCTCCTCCGGCCGTGGCTCCCTCTGCAGCAGAGACCCGCTGAGCCGGAGCATGGACCCGGCCAGATCCAGGACCTCCTGCTCGGGTCTGACTGCTACCCTTTATCCCCGCGGAGCGCAGGAGGAGCACCAGAGGATAACATCCTCCCTGCTGAGCAGCTCTGCTCACACTGACCCCTGATGTTTGAGGGAAGCATGGCCCCGCCCCCAGACTGACTCCGCCCAAAAGGCTGGCGTCACATGAACCTTCAAAATAAAACAATGTAGCAAATGATTCACAAATCATTACATCCACAGATATTTTAGACATATCTGTCGAAGCACCTGTCTAATGTTCTTCTGTAGCAAATGATTCAGTTCAGCTTCAGCTTGGATGGATGATGGATGGATGATGGATGGATGATGAATGGATGGATGATGGATGGATGATGGATGGATGATCGGTGGATGGATGATGAATGGATGGATGATGGTTGGATGATGGGTGGATGGATGATGAATGGATGGATGATCGGTGGATGGATGATGAATGGATGGATGATGGTTGGATGATGGGTGGATGGATGATGAATGGATGGATGATGGATGGATGATGGGTGGATGGATGATGAATGGATGGATGATGGGTGGATGGATGATGAATGGATGGATGATGGGTGGATGGATGATGAATGGATGGATGATGGATGGATGATGAATGGATGGATGATGGATGGATGATCGGTGGATGGATGATGAATGGATGGATGATGGATGATCGGTGGATGGATGATGAATGGATGGATGATGGTTGGATGATGGGTGGATGGATGATGAATGGATGGATGATGGATGGATGATCGGTGGATGGATGATGAATGGATGGATGATGGTTGGATGATGGGTGGATGGATGATGAATGGATGGATGATGGTTGGAGGATGGATGGATGATGGGTGGATAGTTGGATGATGGGTGGATGGATGATGAATGGATGGATGATGGTTGGATGATGGGTGGATGGATGATGAATGGATGAATGATGGTTGGATGATGGGTGGATGGATGATGAATGGATGGATGATGGTTGGATGATGGGTGGATGGATGATGAATGGATGGATGATGGTTGGATGGATGATGAATGGATGGATGATGGATGATCGGTGGATGGATGATGAATGGATGGATGATGGTTGGATGATGGGTGGATGGATGGTGAATGGATGGATGATGGTTGGATGATGGGTGGATGGATGATGGATGGATGATGAATGGATGGATGATGGTTGGATGATGGGTGGATGGATGATGAATGGATGGATGATGGTTGGATGATGGGTGGATGGATGATGAATGGATGGATGATGGTTGGAGGATGGATGGATGATGGGTGGATGGATGATGAATGGATGGATGATGGGTGGATGGATCATGAATGGATGGATGATGGTTGGAGGATGGGTGGATGATGGGTGGATGGATGATGAATGGATGGATGATGGTTGGAGGATGGATGGATGATGGGTGGATAGTTGGATGATGGGTGGATGGATGATGAATGGATGGATGATGGATGGATGATCGGTGGATGGATGATGGGCGGATGGATGATGAATGGATGGATGATGAATGGATGATGGTTGGATGATGGGTGGATGGATGATGAATGGATGGATGATGGGTGGATGGATCACGAATGGAGGGATGATGGTTGGAGGATGGGTGGATGGATGATGAATGGATGGATGATGCTTGGATGATGGGTGGTTGGATGATGGATGGATGGATGATGGGTGGATTGAGGATGGATGGATGATGGGTGGTTGGATAATGGAGCCACCAGTTTATTTTCTCCCACCAACAGCTTCAGGTCTCAGATGGATCTTTTCTAAATACAGTATGTTTGTTTGACCTTTGAACTCTGCACTGGTTTCCCTTTAGACTTAACTCAGGCCTTCAGGTGAGCTGCTGCTTCAGCTTCAGTAAACAAGCAGAGGTTTAAATCAGTTCATCCTCCTCAGCTTCATGAAAGCTGCTCAGTTTAATCTGTTTCTGAGAACATCGATCTCTTCACAGACACACAGCACCTCAGGGAACCATCCGACTCTGAGATCAATAGATCTTTATTTCCAGAGTATTCTTGGATTAAAGGATGTTAATCTAAGCCTAATTAGAACTGGGTGTCAATATCATTCCCTCTCTGCTCAGCAGCTTCACGTTCAATCCTGGTATTTCATTGTTTTGTGTTTTCAGGGTTGGAACCAGCAGCCATCAAACATTTAAAACTAAACGTTTTAACTGATGGCCTCTGAGAAAATAAGCAAACAAGTAGAAATCAGAAGTAAAACAGGTCATTTTATTCCAAATGAACATGTTCAGAACAAAAACACCAAACAGCCAAACAGTTTACCACTGTTTTTGACAAAGGTCAAAGGTCATGTATCCAATTATCATTGAAAGGAGGGAGTCAGCAGAATCTGTGATCAGAAGGCATCATCGCTGGAGGACTCGGTGCTCCTGATCTCCTCCTGGTCTCTATCCTCCTGGGGTCTGAAGGTGGACGGATGGACGCCTCCCTTCATGGCTCCTCTCGTGTTCAGCTTCTCCTGCTGTTCATCCTCTGTGGGAAAAAAAAACCTCAACATAAAAGAAACAAGCAAATTTTCTGCGATCTAGAAATAAGCAAAAATGTCTAAATTGAGTGTATTTAGCCCTTATTTTAGCAGTTAAATAAGATGATTCGCCAATGGAATTAATATTTTCAATCTTAAAATAAGATAATTAGATAATATGCACTTGAAATAAAATAATGCAATTGTTTTTTTGTTTTTTTATTGTAAATATAAATGGTCTTGTTCCAGAATTGAGGAAAGTGTCTCACTCTCCTCAATTCAAGAAAAAAATACTTTTTAAATACAGTGTAAACTAAAGATGCAGATTTATTCTCCTAATTTTTAGTCCTGCATATTTTGTTTTCTTTATGCAAATTGTATAAAAATGTCTTTATTGTGTATTTTAGGTCTAATCTGGTTTTACATTTTTCTAAAATTCTTAATAAATATTTAAATCAAATAAAGGAATCTGGGCATCTTCATTGATATTTGTTTAATTAACTCCTTTAAAAGTAGTTTCAATAAACAAAATATTTTCTTTACAAAAATAAGCTTATTATACAGTAATTACAGATCAGCTGTAATGAGTCTTTGTTGAACACTGCAAAAACAAACTAGAAATATTCAAAGTAAAGTGTATTTAGCCTTAATTTGAGCAGGTAAATAAGAAATAAAGGAAATATTTTCACTCTTAAAATAAGATAATTAGATAATATGCACTTGAAAAAATACAATGCAATTGTTTTTTTTAATGTAAATTGTCTTGTTCCATTGGCAAAGTGTCTCACTTTACGGAAGAGGATTAGGGCCAGTGGAAATAAAAAAATAAAGGTTAACTGATTTTTACATTTTATTTCAGTTTAGTATGGGAAAAAAGTCAGAATTCTGAGAAAAAAGTCAGAATTCTGACTTTTTTATTGTCAGAATTCAGTCAGAATTCTGAGACTAACGTCAGAATTCTGAGAAAAAATGGGAATTCTGACTTTTTTCCAATGTTAAACTGAAATAAAATTTAAAAATCAGTTAACTTTTTTTTTTTTCAGTGGCCCTAATCCTCTTCCATACACTTACTTCCTCAATTCAAGAAAAAAAGACTTTTTTTGCAGTGTAGACTAAAGGTGCAGATTTATAAACGTTTACACCAAATAAAGGAATCTGGGTTCTTTGTTTAATTCACTCATTTAAAAGTATCTTCAACTGCAGTTTGATTTAATGTTTCATTTCTTTACAAAAAATCTGCTTTTTATACATTTATTCCAGATCAGCATTAATGAGTCTGATCAAACTCGGGTGTTTATTGTTGTTCAGCTCCGGATTGTTGAGCCGTGTTTAGATCTGCCACCAGTTAACCACCATGTTTACATCACTGCGCCTGTTTTTCAGGGAGCTGAGGTCTCACTGATGGACCCCTACTTGTCCCAGGATCTAATCTGTTGTAAGGATGATGGGAGCAGCAGAGGGCTGACTGCACAGTGGACCACAGTGGTCTGCAGAAGCAGGAACCCTGGAAAGTGCAAACAGGCCTTTCAAAGGCTCCTTGGCTGGATGCAAACTCTCTGAGCTGGGCTGTGAATGGATTCAGTGTGCAGAGCGTAGAGCTGTGAAACATAGAGCTCAGTGTGGAGTAGAACCACACCTCTGCTCAGGTAAACAGAACCTGATGGAGAGCTGAGCTGGGATACATCAGAAGCCCACATGACTTCCCCACAGATTCTACACGCCTCATCTCAGCAGAGGAAAATCTATTCACTGATCAGAGTCTTCCTCTGCTCCCCCGCTGGGTCTCCATGGCAACATTACAACAGTGCTGGACTTTATTAACAGGATGCTAGGAAGATGAAGCACAGCTGTAATGGGTCTGTTGTTATCCTCATCCCAGATCATATATTGATATTCATATTGTTAGTACTGATCTATATGCAGCATTTCTGCATAAATATTACTCTGTGATTTTCAGAAAACTTCACAGCGAGCAGCTTGAACCAACTGGATTCTCTAAACTCAAGATCCAGGGTAGAATAAGCTGCACTTAGCTGAGCAGAAAACCAACAGACTGAGCGTTCAGCTTTACCTGCAGCTCAATGCATCATTTCAGTAGCAGCAGAAGCGCTGAGCTGGGAGGTGAGAGATCAGACATGCTTCCATGACAACCAGAGAAACTGAAGACGAAGCCCCGGTGTTCAGACAGACACCGCCCTGCAGAAAACCTGGACTTATTCAGAGACCGTGGTTGACTGAGAAGTTTTCAGCAACTCCTGGATGTATTCTCAAAGGGACGCTGTTCTTCCTTCCTAACAGCTGTGGAGAACAACATGTCCAAATGGCTGCAGGTTTAATGGACCTGCTGGGGTGTGAAGATCGATGGATTAGCTGGTTTATTGACCGGCGTCACAAAGAGAAACCAGGAAGAACCGGTACCGCTCCAACTTCTTACTACGCTGCACTCTTTACTAACCCTTTAATGTCATAAGCATTACAGGGTTGATAGAATGATTCTGTAACATCAAATTGTCGATGTGGTAGGGTGAGCAGACGTCCTCTTTCTCCAGACAGAATTTAAAAATCGTCCGGGAGTTTGGTCCCATACAGTACAGCATGTCGTCGAAACATGCCGGGCACTCAAACTGAGCCGTCAGCTCCAGGGCTGGTCACGGAACCCCAGCGAAGGGGGGCAGAGCGGGGAACGGAGCGACCGAACCCGACCCGGTAACGGTAGCCTGGACACCGGCGGCCCGCGTGCTTCCCCCCACCTGCCACCCCTCATGGCTCTCTCCGCTGTGGTCCAGTCCAGTCAGCGGCCCAGCAGTCGACACTTCAAACAACAATTCCCTTAAGAATCAACTTAAGCTTTTTACTCCAGTAAAAGTGTGAAAGTACCATTTTTAAAACTAACGTTAAGTATAAAAGTAAAAGTAATGCAGGAAAAAACCTTAAGGACAGAAGCTGTACTGCTCTACCCTGTTAAAGGAACATTTTTCTATAATTCTGGGTGATAACTTCCTTACACTTCATTTTCTTAGCTTTATAACTGATGGTGTCAAATTTAACTCTGCATCATCTTGAAAAACTATTTATTTTGGTTTGTGGTGAGCAACAAGTTGGGGCAGCACCGAGTCCAAACACAAAGAAATTCATTGTCTGGATAAAACTAAAATTTTTTTGAAGGATCTTTTTTTTTTTTAAATACTAACAGGCCATAATGAAAATGAGCTTAAATGAAACAAAACAAATGAGTGTATTTTTGAATTGTAAGGAGTAGAAGGAAAAAATTTTACTGCCATATTTTTATTTTACATGTTTTATTTTGTATTATGCAAAATTTTTGTTAATATGACTCTTATTTTGAAAGGCTTCTTTAGGAAGTGGAATCTTGCATGTTTGCTGGAAAACTAGAAGATGCACACAGCATGAAGGCAGGACATTTGCAAGAAGTTTTACAAAGAAATTTAAGTTTAAGAAGTCCTTTATTTCTCATTTCTACCTCAAAAGGAAGGGTCAGCCAGCGAGGTTTATATTTATTTATATTATTTTTTATGTCATTTTCTACTCATGACACCATCTCATTTAAGTTTATGTTGTGTTTTAGTTCAAAGTGGCAAAGAAATTATAAGAAGATTTGCAATAAAACTGACCAGCAGTAACGAACTCTTTTTTGCCGTCAAGAAGAGCGGGAAGTGATATAAATTACTCCAGCATAGTATATATAGCCAATATTTCTACTTCAGTAAGGTAATGAAGTATTAGTACTTTGTTACTCGACTTCAGGTTTTTAGTGACGTCTTGAATTATTCTGAACATTTTGTGACGACATGTCATTAATTTCCACGTCAATGATAATGATTTGTTATAAATCAGCGCAGCAGATGGACTGAACCATTTGAACTTGATGCGAACAGATGATCCTGACAGACTTTTCCTTTAGTGAGTCGCTGACGTCATTAAGGAAGTTGTTGGTCGGATGTTTCTAAGAAGTGTCGCCCTCTGCATGCCTGACAACGTCGCCATGGTTACTTGCTGGGAGCCTGCTGGATATTTATAATGATTTGTATTTAGGGGGATGTCAAATGATTCGTCCCAAACTGGAAGGTATGAAGGTAAAGATGCCATGACACGTTATTTTAGACTTTAGTTTTTGTACGCTGCCGAACCCGCTGCAGGTCCTATGCTAACGTTATCGTGTTTTTAGAGCTAGTTGGAATCTTGGCGCCTGCTTTCAGAGCGGACCTTCTAAGGAGGCCAAACATGGCGGCTGTTCTGTTTCCATCTATGGAACGGCTGATTTCAGATAATTCAATTTTATCCATGTTTTAAATTGAATATTAAATATCCAGATGTTCTGCAGAATGCTGTTGTCTGTGACGATGTTAGTATGGCTCTTCCTGTTTGTGCTCTAAGCCCCCCCCTCCGTACCTGCAGGCGGACTGTTCTGGCCGCAGGCAGACGTCTGGTCCAGCAGACCCAGAGTTCTGCTCTGGGTCTGAGGTCTTAGATGCCCGTAGTCTCTGACCTCCCCCAGACTCACCTCATCCTCCATCTCCTCCCTCCCCCAAGAGCCCTGAAGAAACAGTTGGGGTCAAAGGTCAGTGAGTGGCTGTTTAACGGCCTTTGTTTACCTGCTGCAGAAAACGGAGCAAAATCACTGAAACACAGAAAAAATTTAATCAGCTCCACTGAGAGTAAAATAAATCAACCAGAACCAAGAATTTTTATTTTTATTTAATTGAATCTTTTTTAGATGCCGGTAGAACATAAATAATATCAAACTTGGTTTGAATTGCCTTTAATTTTCAGATGTTTTGTGGTGACTATAAGAACATCTGAGATCCTCCATAAAACCCAGAGATTATCCTAAACGTAAAGCACAGATTATATGTTATGCTCTTATATTGAGGACCTTTTGTTTCTGTTTAAGTTTTATTTTTCAGGTTTTCCAGTTTGCTTTATTTTCTTCTGTGTTCTTTAGATTTAGATCTTTTGTGCAGTTTTAGTTTAGCTCTTTCTGTTTTTGTCTTTTTTCCCCTGCATTTTTTGGTTTTATTTATTCTTTGGTCTAGTTTATTTATAGTTATTATCCCTCTTATCTTTAAGTGATGGTGAGGTTTTCCATGGCTTCAGTTTTCTCCAGTCGCTTCTCTTCTCATGCAGTTTTATCCTTGCTCACAGCTTTTGTACTCATTAGATTTATTCCCCTTTTAGCCTTAATTAAGTTCTTTTCTAGTTACTTTTAGATCCTGATGTTTCTCCCTGGTTATTCCTCCCTTTTCTTCCGTCTTAGGCTCCTGTTACACCTTACTGATTTATCCAGAAACGTCTAAAACTTTGGAATACGCTGAACTTTCTATGCATTATTTCAATATTGGGCGTATGCAGAGTATTCATAATGAGTCCTGAATTTCGAGCGTGAGCGAGCGTCTTCAGGCCCCGCCCTCACACTGAGGAAATCAAACAGGGCCACTCAGGCAGCTGCTTTTAAATCCCGTTTTAAAGTGAATCAGTTCTGCTTCTGATCCTCTGATGGACTTTTTTTAAACAGCCTGTAATTCTGGACCTTCCTGTTTTCCGGCACCAGCTGACTGGATAAGTTAGATACTTCCCAGCTTGTTTCCAAAGCTCAGTTAAAGCTTGTTGTTGAGCTTGAGATCAGCTCAACAACAGAGGGAGGAAAACTTTATAGAAAAGTTTGCAGATCTTCTGTAAACTGGTTTTATTCAGGGGAGCCACAGTAAAGGGGGCAGATGCAGAGAGCGCTGCTCTCCAAAGGAAAATGTTCAAGGGATGAAAAGATGATTTACTTAACCTGATCATCTCAGTTAATTTCGAAGTCCTTTGGACTAACCCACCTCAGGGTCCGGCCTTTGTCCTCCCTGATCCACCTTGGTCAGCAGTGTCAGCAAAAGGTCACGACCTCCAACCTGTTCCACAGTGGAGGAGTCTAAGGCCTGCAAGAGGGAATCAAACATTCTCCATAAATTTAATCTGAACAGCTTAGAAAATATGAGTTTTAACAAAAGCAGGTTTAAGAAAAGAGAAACATTTAACCCACCGTTACAAAACAAAGGGGGAGGAGTCAGGAAAATGCCCGCCTACTAATCAGACACCGTATTCAGCAGCTGCTTTGTGCCGTTTATCTCACAGACGAGGAAGAGTTCAAAGATTCAGGCCACCAACCCAAACCAAACGTGGGTAGAGACTAATTACATTTACTCACTTAACTTTGCTTGAGTAGCTTTTTATTTAAATGTACCTTTAGGAAAAATCAAAAAAGTATCACTGCATGTTAATAGCTAGTAATAAAGCTTTTCGGTGTAAATGGGGAAAGGCTTACCCCCGTTGTCAATAACAATGGACTGGAATAATAGAAGAAATCTACATTACGTAAAAACTGACACATGGTTTGAGGCTTCAGTAAACTCAAATGTAAGAAAAGTGGATTAAATGGAAAACATTCAAGAGAAAAGACCGCCACAAAAAAATAAAGAACCAGATAAACTAGATGGGATAAAGGCAAAATAGAGAAATAGCTCCCAAGCAAAGGTTTTATGCAGAGTGTGAAATACGGGGGGGTTCCGGGGGGGCTCGACCCCCCCGATTAACCCATGAAACCCCCAGAAAGCCTCAAAAGCAAAATTTAAAGGGGTCTTAAACTGTGTCAAAAAAATAAAATATATTTTGTCGCTAATGGTCACTAAAATGTTTTTAAGCTCAACATGTCCAGTATAAAAATTCAAAACCTTTATTCATAAATATGTTCTGTTTGCAAAGTGGGGCCAGCCAATCCTGTTCGCGTATGCAAATTAGCCATGTGCTTTTCCGCAGTTAATAACACGGGCAACGCGGAACAGATTGCGTGAAGACAGCAGGTCTTCACTCCTGTTTGTGGACCTCAGTGGACCTCCTCTGGACAAATTCAACCCAGTTCCATTTGTCAGAAACTGGATTAAAGCAGGACATATGCGTGCATGAAAGAGAGAGACAGACAGACAGTCTTTGTGCATGTGTGTGTTTTCATAGACTGACGGTCTATTCAGGCTCTTGCCCGCTCCACCAGATTCACAGAAAGCTTCATCCACCAAGCTGTCAGGAAGCTGACCCCCCTCAAAAAAAAAATCACTCCGGACAAACAGTCTCCTGCAATACTATTAATACTATATTTATTTACTGTTCTTTTGCACTGTTACTGTTACAAATGCTATATCTTACATAGTTGGTAATAATAATAATAATAATAATAATAATAACAAAAATAATAATAATTATTATTATTATTTTTCTGCTGCCATTACCATCTGCCTTTTTGCACTAGCATAAGTATTGCATATTTTATATTATTGTACATTTTATATTTTATTGTGAAATTGAATGTTTAAATTTTTGTATTAGGAACTGATCTTATCTGTTGTGCCTGTGCACTTTATCTGTTTCACTGTTGGTGAATGACAAACATCCTCTCCAGTCCTTGTATGTCTGGTGAATCTGAAGAATAGACATTAAAGCTGACTTTGACTTTGAAATGTTATAGGCCTACTGCATATTGAGAAAATTTAGATTGGTATTGCGCAACAATCGGGAGATGGGGAAACCCCCGAATATTGACAGGTATTTCCCACACTGGTTTTATGTTATGTTGAATGTGAAGTGTACATTGTTTGTGTAAACAGCTGTGAAAAATACTAATAAACAGTTAAATAAAAAAAATAATAAAGTATCACTGCTTTTACTGGCTGCTCCATCAATTTTGAGAAACTTTTAGAAAACTTTGAACCAATCTGACCTGATGTTCTCGTTGAATTGTTTCTGTAAAGGGACTTAAGATGACATGCTTTAAATTGTAGCTATAGAAACTGGATTTAATAAATGAAAACAAGCTAAACAAATATATCCACCACTGAGAGACATGCTCTCTTATTTTTTGTTTGTATTGAGGCGCATCAGTTTGCTGTCATTTGGAGTTTACTGTCATTTAACCTGTTCTATATACTGCAACTATTGAACAGTATATTTATTGTGAATTTACTCGATATTTTATGTTAATTGTCTTTTTTAAAAGACCAGAATTTGCATCACTTAATATTTCATTTATTTTTCCATCATTCTGTAAAATGTTTAATGGGTTGATTTGATCATGGGTAGGGAATAGCTGGGATTTTCTTTTAAGGATATATTTCACTTTAACCTCAGTAAAAATAACATGAACTGCTACTTTTATTTAAATACAATGTTTTGGGGAATTCTAGCCCACTCTACCCCCCGAGGTGTACAGACATTAAGCCCCGCCCACCATCTACACAAAGACTTTAATAAGCTTTGGTTTTATTTGTTCTGATCTTATTGTTTTTGGTTTGTTCTTCAGTAGGAAAATAAGAAGTTAGTTAAAATCTAAAGGCTAATCAAATGTAATATTCACTGAGGAGGTATAAAACATCTAAAGGTTTATTTCTCTCTTAGTTTGGAAAGCGCTGGAAGCTGATGCTGTTTGGGAACTCCTGTTCTAAAGCAATGAATGCGAGTCTGACCGTCTACAGATGGACAAACCGTCATCATCACAACAATGATTAAGGCCCCGTCCACATGAAGTCAAACCCTGGCCTAAACGTACACATTTTTCACCAAACCAGCCTCTCATCCATACGAAGCCGGCGTTTCAAGGTCTGTAAACGATCTTTTTTTTATTCAGCCTTCAGAGTGGGAAGATTTTGAAACGCGGTTTTCGCGTTTCCATCTTTAAGCTCTAACCGCATTTTTTTTTCTTACACGCATGCGTCATAGCGTCGCCTCTAAACACGCATGCGCGACACAGTATCACAACAACAATAGCGCCGTACTGTGTTGAATGGTTGCTGCTCATGCTACTCACCCTGCTGTCGGGCTTACAACAGAATCTTCTTCTTCTGGAATATCTCCAGGAAGAACAGAGCAATATCGACGACATAGTTCAGCACCTGAATTTGACTGAACCACGAAAATGGACCCGCAGGGCAACCATGTATAAATATTAGTGCGCATGCCCAACATTTCGTCGCCTATTTTTGCTTTTGCACCACAGCGCCACTTACAGGCCTGGCATACAATTTGCAGCGTTTTCATGCATTCGCGTGGACGCTCACATTTATATTACGCCTCCGTCTTTACAACAAACGTTCTGGAAAATATTAGCGTTTCGTGTTTGTTTTGACTTCGTGTGGACGGGGCCTAAATAAGCAACACATCTGCAGAGAGAAAAGAAGAGAAGCTAAATGCTGTGAGGGAACCGGAAGAGAGGAGCAGGAGATGAAGTATGTCCTGCTGGGACCTGTGGGACACGCCGTGGACTCCTGGAAGGCTTGGAGGATGGTGCGTTTTAGGAGGATATAAAAGATGTTAGGATTTTCTGATTTACAGTACTTGGATTTCTCCTGTTAGGATTTGGGGGATACCTGATGTATCTACAATTACAGAGGATGTCAGCAGCAATTTAGGCATTGATCAAGCTGCAGGCAGCGGTTGATGCGCTCACAAAGGCTGTGAACGAGCAGGACCAGGAGCTTAGCCGTATGCTGGGTGCCAATGAACACAGGATGGCTGCTGTGGTTGAACTCAAAGGTGAGATGGGATAACATCTTGGATGAGCACGCTCGCTTCAAGGCGGAAAAGGACGACAAATTAAGAATATTGGATTCGACATATAGAGCCAGCAAGAAACGAGTGAGGGAAAATTCCTGTGCAGCCTGCTCTCTGCTCCGATTTATCAAAACCTCCCCTGGATGTTATGGCAGAAGGGCCCAGAGCTGCTGGCTCCCCTGTGGTGCCGATTGATAAACTTCCATCTTATCAAGGACAATGGCCTCTGGACAGCGTTCATGAGAAAAACTGAACGCACTTCATCAAACACACAGACACAACTGATGCTCAAAATGTCAGACTGACTTTCACATGGCTCCAGCCTCCAATGTGACCCTCTGCTGAAAAGTTTGCCTCGTGTTTAAATGTGTTTTTCTTGTGCTGTTTTTTTTTTTTGATATCTCAAACTGTATCCTGTCAAGGATAAAGTGTGAAATATGTTTTTCCCCCGATCTTTCCACAGAGATAAAGGCAGCGCAATAAGGGAACCGCCTCACGGTGGGGCTCTTGGCAATCATAAGAATATGGCAACGGCAGCGTTCTGCAGCACCCATTGCCTCGGTAAATCATCCTCTCTGCCAGCTCCCACACCCCAATGTATGTGATGAAAGTGAAATCTAGATTAAAATGAAAATAGTGAAATTGATAGATTGAGATACTGACCAACAGAGTTCTGCTGCTGATGGGAATTAATCCATCAGCTGGACGAGGGGATGGACCTAATTCTACAAACTTAACCTTTTATTTTGCCTCCATCAGGTTTGCTAACGACCACTGAGGAATCTGTTGTGTTCTTTAACTGAAATTATTTCCAAACCTGATAATAACCAGAACTGGGCGACCAGACACTTGTTTCTCTTCCTACTGGCGACCCCCGGAGGCCAGAGGAGGAACTGCTGATGACATTCACAGAAAAGTGTGATCCCTAAGTGGGCAGAGATGGATAGATACTCACCATGTCCTCCACCTCACGTAGAGAGCTGGAGAAGCTGCAGAGCCCCTCCTCTTCTGAAACAGGAAAAGACACAGCAGGAGAGACATCAATGAGGCGCACTACAGGTGCTGGTCATAAAATTAGAATATCATGAAAAAGTAGATTGATTTCAGTAATTCCATTTAAAAAGTGAAACTTGTATATTATATTCATACATTACATACAAACTCATATATTTCAGATGTTTATTTTGTTTAATTTTGATGATTACAAATGACAACAAATGAAAATCTCAAATTCATCATATCAGAAAATTAGAATATTGTGAAAAGGTTCAAAATTGATGGCCCCTGGTGCCACACTCTAATCAGCTAATTAACTCAAACCACCTGCAAAAGCCTTTAAATGGTCTTTCAGTCTAGTTCTATAGGCTACACAATCATGGGGAAGACTGCTGACTTGACAGTTGTCCAAAAGACGACCATCGACACCTTGCACAAGGAGGGCAAGACACAAAAGGTCATCGCTAAAGAGGCTGGCTGTTCACAGAGCTCAGTGTCCAAGCACATTAATAGAGAGGCGAAGGGAAGGAAAAGATGTGGTCGAAAAAAGTGTACAAGCAAGAGAGATAACCGCACCCTGGAGAGGATTGTGAAACAAAACCCATTCAAAAATGTGGGGGAGATTCACAAAGAGTGGACTGCAGCTGGAGTGAGTGCTTCAAGAACCACCACACACAGACGTATGAAAGACATGGGTTTCTGCTGTCGCATTCCTTGTGTCAAGCCACTCTTGAACCACAGACAGCGTCAGAAGCGTCTTGCCTGGGCTAAAGAGAAACAGGACTGGACTGCTGGTGAGTGGTCCAAAGTCATGTTCTCTGATGAAAGTAAATTTTGCATTTCCTTTGGAAATCAAAGTCCCAGAGTCTGGAGGAAAAGAAGAGAGGCACTTCATCCACGTTGCTTGAAGTCCAGTGTAAAGTTTCCACAGTCAGTGATGGTTTGGGGTGCCATGTCATCTGCTGGTGTTGGTCCATTGTGTTTTCTGAGGTCCAGGGTCAACGCAGCCACATACCAGGAAGTTTTAGAGCACTTCATGCTTCCTGCAGCTGACCAACTTTTTGGAGATGCAGATTTCATTTTCCAACAGGACTTGGCACCTGCACACAGTGCCAAAGCTACCAGTACCTGGTTGAAGGACCATGGTATCCCTGTTCTTAATTGGCCAGCAAACTCTCCTGACCTTAACCCCATAGAAAATCTATGGGGTATTGTGAAGAAGAAGATGCAATACACCAGACCCAACAATTCAGAAGAGCTAAAAGCCACTATTAGAGCAACCTGGGCTATCATAACACCTGAGCAGTGCCACAGACTGATCGACTCCATGCCACGCCGCATTGCTGCAGTAATACAGGCCAAAGGAGGCCCAACTAAATACTGAGTGCTGTACATGCTCATACTTTTCATGTTCATACTTTTCAGTTGGCCAACATTTCTATAAATCCTTTGTTTTTATTGGTCTTCAGTAATATTCTAATTTTCTGATATGATGAATTTGAGATTTTCATTTGTTGTCATTTGTAATCATCAAAATTAAACAAAATAAACATCTGAAATATATGAGTTTGTATGTAATGTATGAATATAATATACAAGTTTCACTTTTTAAATGGAATTACTGAAATCAATCTACTTTTTCATGATATTCTAATTTTATGACCAGCACCTGTAATGGCGGCCTCCTCGATGGCCTAGTCAAAGCCTGATTCTAAATGATGGACAGTTTAATCCGTGTCTAAAAAAACATTTTAATGGATGTCACCGCTCTCACAGGAAGTGGTCAGTGCAGCTGGAGCTGAGTGATGCCTTCAAACACGTGAGAGCAGGAAGTGGCAGAGAAAGTAGAAGGGGTGTGGATCAGACCTGTGAGAGGGGCCAGCTGGTTGGCACTGATGAGCAGCTCTCCCTCTGAGATGTGCTTCAGAGCCGCTTCGGTTTCTGCTGTTACAGAGCTGCTGCTGGTGCTGGAGCTGCTGGTTTCTGAAAGGCTGGGAGGGAGAGCAGGACTGGGTTCAGCCTCAGACTGAGCAGCAGCAGGGCGGCAGGCCGGAGGCTCCTCCTCTTCCATGGACGCCACCCTGCACGACAAGAGCAGTTAGTGTTTCCTGAGCCAGGTGAGCTGCTTCGCTTCAATCTGGACCTGTCAGCGTACAAAGGCTGCTTCTGTGACTCCAGCTCCTCCTCTGGTCCATCCTCATCCAGGGGAAGTTTAGGGGGCGGGGCTTGAAGAGAAGCAGGGGGACTTTCTTCAGGAGATTGGGGCTCTGGCGTGGCGGTCGGCGTAGCGACGGGATCTTGGGTCACAGCAGGAGGAAGTAACATCAGAGAAGATCGTAAATGAGCAGAATACAGCGACAGAGCAAGAATGAACTGGATGCAGAGAAATGAGCCGTTTTAGGTTCAGATCACATTGGATAATAAAGAGATTAGAACCAGAGAGAATAGATCTGTAAGTCTAAACAGGTTAAAGAAGCAGAACTAGAAGCAGAGATCATGACTTCTATCATACTGTGTTTACAGAGGTTGACATTCCAGGTCCAGAAACTAAAAACTTGCCTGGTTTTCCCTCATCCTGTTCTCCCAGCTGGTGCTTGGTCCCTGACCTGATCCAAGTTCATCTAACTGAGGAAGACTCTTCAGCCAAAGCTGAAGATAGTCAATTTAATTCAATCTAGTTTATTTCTATAGTGCCAATTCTCAAAATATCATCATATATAACATCTCAGGTTACTTTCCAGTTCACCAGATCATCCAGTCAGATTGATTCAAAGTTTTCCATCTAAGGAAAACCAGTTGATTGCATCGACTCATTTACGTGAAGGCAATCCCTCACACTAAGCATGCTTGTAGTGACAGTGGAGAGGAAAAACTCCCTTTAAACAGGAAGAAACCTCCAGCAGAACCAGGCTCAGTGTGAGCGGCCATCTGCTGAGGCCGACTGGGGTTCAAGGAGACAGAAGCAGATGTCAGCTGTGTCTGAATAAAGGTGGTAGAAAGGAAGGAGGCAGGAAGAGGTAGCTTCCTATCCTATTTCCTTTAGCAGAGGGACCTGATGACGTTCCCATCTGGAGATAAACAGTTTCCCACAATCCTTTGCTTAACAGTACAGTGTATTTTTTCTTGAACTGAGGTCAGTGAGACACTTTGCCAATGGAAGAAGATAATTTAGATTTGAAATAAGAACAAAAACTACCGGATTGTCTTACTTCAAATACATATTTTCTAATTATCTTATTTTAAGAGTAAAAAAAAAAACAAATCCATTGGCAAATTATCCTATTTACAGACTCAAACTACTTGGCCATCAAACTGTATTATTCATTACTTCATTGTGCAATAATATTAATTTAGGTACTGAGCAGTATTGGAAATCCTGTCTATTGTAAATACTGAGATCCTTATATTATATTCTTATATCTCGTTTTACACTGTTTATAGGGAAAGGGTTTAGTTTCACTGTGTGGGTTGTAATCTTTTTTTTTGTTATTGTAATGCTACTTATCTCATTTTATTGTGTCTTATACTTTATTTTGCTCTATTGTACTTATCATCTTAACCCTTTAAAGCCCGATCCAAGAATAAAACAAAACAGAAAATTACTTTTTTTTGGTTTGAATTCCTTATTTGCCCTTTTAACAAAATATGTAAAAAGAAAAAACAGAAATACATTTTGATATTAATAATTTATTACTATGTGATAAGTCAAGATTATTTTTTGTGTAGTCTTCTACTGGCTGTTATCAGGTATATCTAATTGTGTACAATAGGATGTTGAGCAAAGTTTTTACCATTAAATTATGCAAAAGGTGTCTGATGCAAAACATTTCAGAAACCGTATGTATCAAATATGATACATTTGGCATTATAGGGTTAATTTCTTCTGTAAAAGGTTGCACCGCAAGAAAAATAATTTTCTGCCCAGGATTAATAAAGTAACTCTGATTCTGAAATTGCAGGTAAAATAACTTCATTTAGGAAATGCTGACTTATTTCTGGATGGTTTTTGCAGTATGATGCTATGTTCAGACCGCACGGAGCAGGAGTAGCAAAAAGTTTAGTTCTGACACACAGCTGAAACATCTTTGCTGACCTTACTCCGTGGTGAAAAGTGGGTCTGATGCGCAGTGGGCGGAGCTACCCTATCCTTTCTTTGCCTGGAACAGTGACAAATGAAATCGAGAGTCACTTGGCTTATTTTAATGAATGCTATGTTTAGACGACAAGCGCTGGAATCAGCAGGAAAGATTCTGCTGCTTCATTTTTGATTCTTGTCCACATTAAGGTCAGACATCCAGTAAAGTGTTTTAAATGAAGTAAAGTAATTAATTTTTTATTTATTTATTTTTCTTTTTATTGCACTAGTTTTTTTGACAGTAGGCTGACAGGAAAGGGGGATAGGAGAGGAGGAGAGACATGCAGGAAAGGACCACATGCCGGATTCGAACCCGGCTCGGCCTGGTCGAGGACTAAGGCCGCCATACATGGGTCGTGCACGCTAACTGATCTGTGCAGTCAGTTCATCCAGATTACCATCCTGCCTTCAAAGATTATTTCTCTGTGGGAGCCGCTCAGACCCCCACATACCGGCGGGGCGCCGTCACTGGGAATCCCCAGCAGCAGCTGCCTCAGGCCCACTCGCCTCCTGGGCCACTAATGTTCGTGGCGGCTGGAAGGCGTTTTTCACGTACGTAATCCAAACTGCCGGGACAATAAAAGCCAACATATTCTGCCGGCAGGTTTCTACATTTTAGGTTCATTTAGGCGTTAATAAACTGTTTCAGAGGAGGGATCATAGCGCTCTGCATCAGCAGCGCTGTGTCTGCCTCCCTGCCAGCTCCCAGATCAGCTTCTCTGATTGGTTGATGTGGCGCTTCCAGCGGCTAAAGCTACCTTTTTCCAACTTCATGCGCTGCTGCTTGTGCAGCACATGACGCACGTCAGATGCTGAGAAGCTCGTGAGGTGCTGCTTCAGCTGCGGGACTTTTTGCTGAGCCTTGATGCGCGTCAACCATTGATTTTGCATGTAAACTAGCTGCTCCTGCTGCCTCTGCAGCGTGCGGGCTGAACGTAGCATAAGGCTGTAGCCCTATTAGACCAGAATCCTCCAAGTTAGTTTCCTTCCCCTAATAACTGAAGGCTGCCAGGAGTCCAGACTTCTAACCACATTGACTCCATGAATGATGAAGCACTCAGAGGTAGGAGCAACGATCTGGGCCGTCTGAGCTGATGAGCTGGAAATGCTAACGGTTGGAGAGGGTCTCTATGCAGACCTTCAATTTTCTGAATCTGGACTGGCCACCTCTGGTTATTTGGTGCTGAAATCAGAGGAATCCTGATCAGAATGAATGAGGGGATTTGTTTTCATAAGTTCTGCTCCTGAATGAAAAAAGTTCATGCAGTAAACCAACATCTGATCTGATTGTTTGGATCAGAACATCTGCTGCTGCAGACCTGCTGTAGGGACGGGCTCTGCAGATTCCAGGATAACTGGGCTGGATGGTGTGGATGGAGGAGGCGTGGCTGCAGGGGGGCTCTCTCTGCTGGGCTGGGGCCCACTGGGTGGAGGCGTTGGGACCGGTGTGGGAACCAGTGGGGCTGGCGGCTGCTAAGAAACACGGTGAGGTCAGACAAAAGCTGGTGGGTGGTCAGAGAGCCGAGGGGTTTTCTTTACCTCTGTTTCCTCGTTACGATGTGTTTCAGCTGCTTCCACTTCTGGCTCTGGAGCCGCATCTGTGCGGTTCAGCATCTGGGCCACAGTTTCACTCAGAACCTCGTTAACCAGCTGCCTAATTAACGCCGAGTCCACGGACATGTTGGAGTCTACAAAGAGATGCAGACCTTCTCCTCCTGCCGCTTCCACTGCAGACCAGACGGACATGAGAAGTTCTGCACAAGTTCTGAAATAAAGGGCAAGAAGAGTTTGGTCCAAACTACCGATGTCTGACGTGAGGCTCTGCTCCTCCAGCTCCGATTGGTCCGTGGAGTCGTTCTGGGCGGGATCAGGTGGGGGCCGGGAGTACATGTCAGCAATCATCCTGGACATCAGCTGCTGCTCCACCCTAAACAGAACAACAGGAGCAGAGTGACACAGAGCAGAATCAGCAGAACCCACAGAGGTGAAGCCCAGACCCGGTCGCACCATTCCACCAGCCGGTCCTCCAGGACATCCCGCCGAGGGCCGCCGGTAACCGCAGGGGCCCCTTTCTCAGCACGGCGGGGGGAGGGGGCTCTAGGCGGGAAGGCGGGGCTGTGGTACCGGACCGGACCTGGAGACGGGCATCCCTCCAACACCACGGCCTCCTCTCCCACCTCACTGTTCTCTTCCTGGAGAGGAGAACCTTTTAACCACCTTCACCAGATTAAAAGTTGTTTTCTCCATAAAAAAAACCTTCTGCACTGCAGAAGGATCTAGAAATAAGTATAAATGTCTTAAATTAAGTGTATTTACTCTTAATTTAAGCTGGTAAATAAGATGATTTGCCAATGAAATTAAAAACTTCAATAAGACAATGCAATTTTTTTATTATTATTTTAATTTTTTTTTTATTATTTTTTAATGTAAAGGATCTAGTTCCATTGGCAAAAAATGGAACAATTCCTAATTTCAAGACAAAATGCACTTATTTTAAGAAGAAATAACTGAAAATCACAGAAAGGGTTCACTGTGAGCAGAGCCAAACTTTCTGTTTTTGAGCTCTATTTTACAGGGGCGGAGCTAATGATGGGGGCCCGGGGTGATCATGGCCCCCCTGTGAATATTTTTAACTAGTTTCCCTCTGAACAGAAAGTTATGTACATCTGCAGTCTGTGCGATTTTTGGGGCGAATTCACGGTCGTGCGAGAATTTTCCGATTGGACCGACTTTCAGCCTGATCGTGAGTCGTGCGTCGTGTTGTGTACAGGGGGTTACGAGCAGAAATCAGCCTTACACGACCACCTCCTGATCAGGAATCGGGAGGTCGGGAGAAAATCAAACATGTTTGATTTTCTCCCGACCGTCGTGGGTAAATCACTGAGGGCGCAAACAATGATTCTTCTTTTTATTCCTCCTCTCAGATGTAAACACAGCAGCGTGGCGGGGATGCAATGAATGAAATGCAGCTCTGTCTGCAAAATTGACGAACCGCAGCAGCCACGCCTGCTCAGCCATGTCTTTTTTCCAAATACGTCGTCGCCCTTTTTTTCTAGGACCCTCAGCACAAAATTGCACAAATTGACGAGGCAGCGCAGTTCACCATAGTGAGCTTAATATCCCTCTTCTATTTGTTTGGCTTCAGGATAGAGAGCTACAGAGCAGCTCCATCTCACTGTGGATCTGAGTCTGACGTGGTTTTAGTTGCACAGTGTGAGCAGGCAGATCGCATCAGAGCGTCGGACCGAACATAAAGCATGACCTGTGAACTCACACTACACGACTAAACCCTGCGATTAGTCGTACATTGTGAGCAGCAGATGCGTACAACGATTGAACAAAATTGCACAGTGTATGCCCGGTTTTAGACAGTACACAAGCTGGTCAAACAGACACAAGGACGCCACCAATCCTAGCTAGTTCCTGATTGGCCCTCTAGTGTTGTGGAGTGGCATAACATAGCGCAGACCACGCTTCAAAATTGGGCATAAATCAAAAATATCTGCGTCATACCTGCGACACACTGCTACGAGAGGATAACCAGCCCTTAAGTCCATGTAATGTAGGTATTAGTTTAAATAAATATGAATAATATTAGGAACAGTTATTGATAAAAATATAGTCAACATTTTTCCACAAATCCAAGTAAAAACTGAAAACAAATACATTTTCACCCCAGAATTCAAAGCTGAAAGAAATCTAGTCCATTTTTTATATTTGAGATCAATACTGATTGGAGAACAGTAGACTGACTCTGAGGATCTGGCGCCTTTCCGCTTTTGGAGGCCCCTTGATGTACATTGGTCCCTGCCTGGGCACCGCTATGACAATGTTCTGGCTACACCACTGTTATTCTAACCCTTCAGAGTCCACAGAAAAAGGCTCTGTGAGGGTGAGCTTCCCACTGACATGGCAGAAATCTGAGGCACAGTGGATGAATCTGTATTCATAGGATTTAAAACTAAATGCTTTGATTAGAAAATGGAATCAGGGGTTGATGTTAAGGATTTTTACCACTTGCCCAACATTTAATTTGCCCAGAAACAATTTTTACTTGCCCAGTATAATGTTTGATAAATATAGTTCCTAATATTCATTTTTGTGTATATATCAATGAAACATGTTTGTTTTTTAAATGTTTTTTGTAATTCAGTATTTTTTAAGTTTACAGGTTCCTGGTGTGTATATGCATGCGTCAGATAATGAACTCAAGCCTACATTACCGTGTTAACATGCTTTTCAATCCTTCCTGCACATTCTTTTCAAACTAAACTTTGCTTTAACTGTTGTGTGCTTGAAAAATATATATTGTAATGTTAAAAATCTAAAAAAAACTTGACAGGTTAAAAACTTACCCTACTACTACTCACCAATTTAACATGTTTAGCTCTATAACATTTAAATGAACCACTGCAATGTCTAAGAGAAAAAATTTTTTATGAACATTTTTTAATGTATGACCTGCATCACTGTACAGAAGACTGCCATATGATAGAAATATTTACACTGTGCGCATACAATTATTATTATTTTCCTGATCCCTGACTGACCATTTTTAATCTGGCGTGTATTATAGTATAGATTAAATTCATCATCCAGCTGCTGCTCTGCAGAATTCTCTCCCCAAGAGCTGAATCACGCCATCTAGCGGAAAATCATGTGACTTTTTCAAATCATGCGAGAATGTGTACAAAACAACAAAGTTGGCGCCGGCAACGCTTGTGGGTCGTTTTCAGCGAATGTCGGTGATTTTAAAGTAACTTTGAGTGATAAATAATTGTTTTTTGCGATCATTGCACTTGCCCGGTGGGCAAATGCAACGAAATTTGTACTCTCCCGACAATAAAAACGACTTGCCCCGATCAGGCAATGGTTAACATCGAGCCCTGGGAATGAATTAAACTGAAATCCTCTGTAATACTGGAGAAGAGGCGGTTGCCATGGTGAATTGATGATTGGCCGTCCGCTGATGGCTTTTCTCAGCAGCTGAAATAATTTGGAACCAAACAACCACTTCAGAGTTGATGGAGAAACTGGGAGTTTCTTCATAGAGGTCCCGTCGAATCTAAACTGGTACTGAATGAGAGAAATATACGGATTCTCATACCTCAGCTATAAGGAATTCTGATTTCCATTTGGTTTTACAGAGAGCTGGTGGACAGTCCTGGCTCTGCTTTCCCTATTCTAAACTTCCACCTTGGTAAACACAGCAGGCCTATGTGCTAACCTGACTGTGTCCAGCAGGGGGAGCTGCTGGTTACCTGGTTGAGATCAGAGACAGAGAGAAAGTTATTTCCAGGGAAGTTTTCTTCATGATCTTCATGGCGCTCAGCTGCAGCTGTCTCGATGATGCATAGTGGAGAAGATGAAGGCATTTCTGTGATTAGCTGCTGCTTCTGTCAATAACAAAACACCAGATTAGCACCTAAAATATCAGTTCAGAAATTTACCAGCAGTTTAATTAGAAGGAAAATCTACAATTTTACTGATTTGCTGCTGTTATGGATCAATGAAAACACAAAGCCCTCCTCAGATCAGGGGCTTTTTTTTTCTAAAACAGGGAGATCCCATCCCTGCTCCTCCACCCAGAAGAGAATAAACTTTAATTTTAAGACGGGCAGGCCTGATGTAGAGATGTTATTTGTTTAAGGATGGTGGAAAAAGGCTCAGATCTGACTAAATTAGACCGTGAAGGTGTGCCGAACAAGTCTTTCATAGGAACAGGGAATTCCAGTGTGGCATCATGATGATGATATCTCCTGTGGTGCAGAGATTAAAGCAGAGGTCACCAACCACCTGCAGTCGACAGACCTACAAACCTGTATGGCTCCAGGGAAAGGGAGTCTCAATGTTGCTGGTGAAGATTCTCAGTCATCCAGGTCATAGATATTCCAAAGAAAGTTAAAAAACAATCCACTGGACTTTGTTTGAAGTTTGAAGATGTTTCTCTTCCCATCCAGGAACCTTCTTCAATTCAAAATGTCAGAATGTTGAGTTGCTTTATACAGTAGCCCAACAAAGCCTTTTGTTTGTCAAATATAGTTGCTGTCATTGCAACCCCAGCTCCTTTACAGGGGAACAGAAGACCTCATCTATTCAGCCAGGCCAACAATACCCTTTAACGACCTCCCTTTCAGAGACATAAACAGGTATGGGGCATTGAAGGCTAAAAGAAGCCAAACGACCCCCATTCCAAAGGGGTTTGACCCGTTCATCCGTTTCTATTTGCATGTTTTCTAAACTAAAACAAGGCTTTGTTGGGCTGCTGGATAAAACCTGGAACTCAAAGCTATTTCTGACATTTTGAATTGAAGAAGATTCCTGGATGGAAGAGAAACGTCTTCAAACTTGGAAACAAAATCCAGTGGATTGGTTTTCAATTGTTTTTGGAACGTCTCAATGTTAATGAGTGGATTTCATGCGGAAGACCTTCACTGGACTAAAACCCCCAAATCTAAAACCAAACACGACTCCAGACACCAAAACAAAAATGAACTTTTTAGGTAGCCTAGTCAAAGTCTGTATTTTAACCCAATGGAAAACATTTCTGCAGCACCTCACAGTTATGACTAATCGGCAAAGGCTGAGAACCTCCGCTCTTAGAAAATACTGAATGAGCCAATTAAAACCGTCCACTGCTAGACTTCGCCTTCCAGGTGTTACTGAACACAAGAGATGATTTGTAGAGTTGATTGAGAGGTCTGAAGCTTTTATGTCATTTCCAGAAGCCACTATGTGCAGTTTAGCAGACTTGTGATGAAGTTCACCTGTTGGTAATCGGTGCTGTCGTTAATTTCCGCGCCGCTAGCTGGCAGAGCACTAGGAAGGACTTCCTGACCATGCCCACTCATGGAGGAGTGTATCCTGGGAGGAGCTTCCTGAGGACGCTCCCTCCTGGAGGAGGAGTGTATCCTGGGGGGACCTGCAAGACATCCAGATCTTTATTCTTTCTAAAGATCTTCTTTGTTTTCATCCCACTTTACCTTTAAAAACTATCTTCCTTATTTACTTTAAATTATTACATATCATGAGGGTTAGAACTGGTGATGGTGAGTTGAAGCCTCATTGAACCGTTTTGGCCAAATTCCTTCAATGATCTAGCCTCGTGAGACCATCCTGATCTCGCGAGCTTTCAAGGTTTCACTCGCAGACCAGTCTGGAGACTCTCCGTTAAAGAAAATTTGGAGCCGTTCACCGAACGAATGTCCAATCAGTGTTGGCTTTGAGGTGGGTTGAGGTATGACGCAACTAGAAGCGCGACAGTTCAGTCTAAAGAACATGGTGGCTTCAGCCGATGAACCTAGCGTTAGCGTGGCTATCGAGCAAGTTTTATCTGAATTACAGAGTATTTCCTCACTGAAAGAAGAGCAAAACACTGCTCTGGAGGCTTTTCTCAGAGGAAAAGATGTTTTTGGTCTTCTCCCGACTGGTTTCGGCAAGAGCAGCAAGAGTAGCCTGGCTTGTGGTTGTGTTTTCGTCGTCGCTCTGTTAGTACGTCATATGCTTCGTTGATCTGATTGGTTTATTTGGCCCGTCTATCACCAACATAGGCCAATCAGCTAACCGTTATTTTCGCCCCTTCCCAAAATAACTTCAACAGAAGGTTCCAGATAGATATGCGGAGCAAATCCATCTGACAGAGTCAGGTTAGAAACGATCCCCACAGTTCATGAAGCTTCATGTGAACATGTCACCACCTACTGGTGGAGTGCAGAACTGCAGTTAGTAATTTAATCTGTGATTTTTTTGCAATTGTTTTTCATTTTTCCCCATTTACGTTCCTTTGAAATTTTTAATGATTGCTCTGTATAATAAAATCTTTTGTATGCTTTTCTTGTGAGTAAAATATATTAGAAGAGAACAATGTTTTAGGTTCACTGTTTTTCTGCCACTTTAGTGAAATAAGTTCAAGCAGACAGTGAAAGTGTTTGTGTAAATTAGGCAATGATGAGCAAAATGAAAGGTTTTAGTCATTTTTATTCAAACATGATAGTTTTTCCAGAGTTTTTGGTTTTAATCAGGTTGGAAGTTATATGTGTACTGGAGCAAACCAATACAAATTAGTCACACTAACCAAAATACTTGTTAAGTATCATTGCAACTTTCAAAATCTGAGGTGGGATTTGAACCATCAACCTAAGGAATGGATGTCAATGTCTTACAGCTGATGCCACCTGCAATAGTAACTGCAAATGAGAAAGCAATACTATTTAAAACCAATATTACAACTGTAACTACTGGTTTGCTTAGACTTTGATCATTACACTATTTAATCTAACCAAAATAGTTTAGATTAACTAGTTGGCTGTTTTTCCAACCAATCTATCCTTAGAATCTATCCAACTGACAGCAGCTCTCCTACAAACTCCCACATCTTGTCTGAACACTTCGGGGCGAGCTGAACCACTTCCTGAAGCGGTCGCGTCATGTCGGACGTCATTGATTTTGGCTCCTCCCCTAATTGAAGCACGCCCCGATATGCGCCTCGTGGAAATGCTGCCTCCATTACTCAAAGCACTTCGAAGCCTCGGCTCATCTCATAACATCACTTATTAGAACCGATAAAGATAAACACAGCAAGAAATATTCCTCAATGTATACAGTCCAGCAAGAGAGTTCTATTCCAGCTTTTTATCAAATGATTTTAAATTATTTTATTTCCTCTAGAAATGGAAACACGTTTCCTTTAGATTGCTGAACATTTCTAACAAATAATAAGAAATCCCATGTCTGATTATTCACAGCCTTTACCAGGAGGCTCCAACCTGAAGCTCCTCCTGTTTCCTCTCATCCTCCTTTGGATGATTGATGGCTCCACCTGTTGAGTCAACAATCTCTGAGGCAACCCAGCAATCAGGCCTGTATGGCAGAGCAGTCTGACTGGACTTTTCCTTTAAAAATGTTTTCCTCATTTTCATGATGGAGTTTAATGTTTGGAGTTTGGAAGAATTCAATGAATAGATGCCGTTTGGAATCAGACTGGAACCCAAACAAATGTGGAAGAATGCTTTACAGACTGGTTTTTACTCAGTTAATTCAAACACTCAGCGAGACCAGGCCTCAGTTATGGTAAATATCTGCAAACATAAATGAATCTAATGTAGGAAACTGTATGATTGACTTAGAGAGAGCAACGGTTGTTCCTACAGCTGTTTTCAGGTATAAATAAAATCCTAATGAGGTGCAGTGATGACTCAGAGTGTGGCTGTCTGTTTACTGACGCAGTGGGATGGCCGTGGCACCAGTGGAGCTTCCAGTATAATCCACTGGAGGCTCAGCCGACAGACTGTGGTGAGGAGAGAAGCTAGTCTGAGTCTTACAGGACTTCACCCTTACACCTGTCAGGAGACACAGATCACAGGCCAATCAGAGGGAGGAACAGCCTCCACCAATGAAACACGAGTGATTCAATGCTTCTCCAGACCTCTGATGCTTTCCACCAGTCGGGGGCGGAGCTTCCTGCCCAGAGGGGATGCGGGGGAGCTGAAACGAGGGTACGGGCTCTTCTTCAGGGTTCGTCTCAGACCTTCATGAGGGAGTTTGCCGTAAAGACGAGTCAGATACAGTTCTCCACCAACATCCTCCTGCTGGATGCCCATCTGGTTCCCTGAGACTCCTTTAGGCTCCGCCTCCTGCAGCTGTACACAAAGCAGTGGTAATGTCACCAGCTGCACTTCGCCGAGCAGACTGACCCGTCACTGTTAGTAGGATCATGTATGACCGTTCTGTGTCCAGCAGGTTGGCCTCTGCTTCCTCTTCCCATAACGGGCCTATTGCTTGTTCCTCTGGGCACCGTCGGCGTCTTCCCTCTGCCTGATGGTCTGGGTCGAAACTTTGTCGCGTTCGCTGCTCTGCGCTGATTGGCCTCTCCTGGACGCGTCTCGCCCTGATGGGGAGGAGGTTGATCCTGCACCTGAAGACAGAAGAGAGCTTAAGAAAACTTTAGTAGGATCACGTTTGACAAACAAAGTGATGCATGATGGGGGAAAAAAGAATCTGTTTTTATTTTCTTTGAAAAAAAAAATCTAAATCTGAAAAGTATGGCATGCATTTGCATCAAGGCAGAAAGGGGCTGAGAGAAAATAGAAAAGAAGAGAAAAACGACAAGTGTTAGGCTACGTTCACACTGTCGGAAGTCACCCAAATCCAATTTTTTTTTACTATTTTTTTGCCCATATGCGACCCAATGTGACCCAGACCACTTGGCTCTGTGGTCCTGGATCAGATATGAATCTGATCTTTTGAGAATGTAACCTGTGTCTGAACGGCCAAGTCGCATTCATCCGACCTGAACGCCATTAATAACCAACAAATTTCACTATTCTGCGCCTTGCTACTCAGAAGTTGGAAAAAAAACAACAACCATGGTGGATGATGATGCGGAGAGTCGTCTTTATATTTAACCATCTTTAAAAGACTGAGTATTTAAGGATGGGAAAGATCGCTAGATGCGCTCCAGCACTACCATTCATGTTTACTTTTGTAAACACAGAGCACGCTGGCTTGAGACATCATTGCGTCCTCTACTGTGCATGCAGGACATTTAAGCTGTATAAATACATTTCACGCAGGAGATCACATACAGGTTGCAAATATTTGGAAATGTGAACGGCAACGCAAAAAAATTCTATTTCACAAAAAAATTGGAGTTGAGCATTAAAGCCTGCAGTGTGAATGTAGCTTTAGAATGTCCAGATCAGGTGGATTTCCAAATGTTCTTACCTGAGTGTCTGTGGTTAAGGAGCTGATCCAGGCATCCACTGTCTTCTTTATCCGCACGTCTTCAGTCAGGTCTCTGCAGAACAGAGTCAGCTTGAACTGTTCCAGTTTACAGCCTGCATCCTCACACATGAATTACAGAAGTTAAAACCTTTTCTCCTTCAGACAAAATTCTTATTCTTCAGAACAAATTTCTAGAGAAAAGATCTCCTCCTGTTCAGCGTCATAGAATTTCAGCTGTCGCTGATATTCTTGGACATAAGAGGCTTCTCTTTGTCTTAGTGGCAGATGCTTTTCCAGCTACTTAATGCCAATGTGATGCATGCTCTGCACTGGTGGCAACATTATTCTCTAACCAAATCCTCAGGTGAAGCTTTGTGGAGTTCTCTAGGATTCTACCAGCAGCACTTTTGGTTATGTTTATTCAATTCCATGATTGCTACTTCCTTTAGTACTTCAGAGGCGTCAGAGAAGCAAACCCTGATCTGAATGGTGACCCAGGTGTAAACTTTAACTTCCCTCAAACTCCCGCTTTCCACTCCCTGCCCCCTTTATCACTCACATTTTGCACTAGGATTTCTTGCCAAACTACTATAAAGCCAGTCACTGTTACGTATTAGGGTCACATGTACCACCGCAGCCCATTTGCTAAGTATATTAGCTGGAGTGGGGGAGTATGAAAGATTAGGAAGCGTTGAGAGGAGAGCTGAAGCCAACTACTTTGAGCCGAAATTAGATTAAAAAAACAACTGTTTGTGTGAGATATAAACTGCAGAGTTGGCCAGGTTTTCATGCACTATTTTCCTCTTTAATAAGTAAACCTATATTAATATTTCAGTTAATCTAGGATATAGACTTAAAGAATGCTTTATTCATAATGCACTCTTGTCTATGTGGTCTGTTTAGATGGGTAAACCTGTTTAACCAGAACTGCTCTTTACAATGGCTCCTTTTCAATCGAATTAATATAAAATATAAAATTAACAAGAGGTAAAAACGCTTTGTTTCCGTTTAAGAAAATCATATGTGAACATAAGCATACACTTTTCATATACACGTCATTTGATGAATGGCCTGAGGGACATTTATCAATGTAACGCTTCCTGTTTGTAATTTAAGGATCACATCACAGACCTTATACAAACAGAAGTCTACAGCACTGTTCTTACAGTAAAAACAGTGGTTTTCATAGTAGCGGCTAACTCCTGACCTCGCCTCTTACTCCTCTCAGGTCTATCGTTCTGCTTACAGACTCCTCACTGCATCACACCCCCATCAGGCTAGAACCTATCCTCTACGTAGAGAAAACATGGTGGAGCATTCTGGCCTTCATAATGTAGACTCCTATAGCCTTTCTTCCTGTTCATGTCTGGTTCTCTCCAAGTACTTCAGTTTTATGTCAATCTAAATCACAAAGCAAAATCTGTACCTGCTTCCTACCAGGTTACCCATTTAACTACCCACCTAGCTATCTATCTTGTTAGTCATCTAACTACCCACCTAGCTATCCATCTTGTTAGCCATTTAACTACTCACCTGGCTTCATATATAGCTTCCTACCTAGTTACCTATCTAACTAATCATCTAGCTTCCTACCTAGTTACCTATCTAACTATTGATCTAGCTTCCTACCTAGTTACCTATCTAACTATTGATCTAGCTTCCTACCTAGTTACCTATCTAACTATTCATCTAGCTTTCTACCTAGTTACCTATCTAACTATTGATCTAGCTTCCTATATAGCTTCCTACCTAGTTACCTATCTAACTATTGATCTAGCTTCCTATATAGCTTCCTATCTAGTTACCTATCTAACTATTGATCTAGATTCCTATATAGCTTCCTACCTAGTTACCTAACTATTGATCTAGCTTCCTATATAGCTTCCTACCTAGTTACCTATCTAACTATTGATCTAGCTTCCTATATGGCTTTCTACCTAGTTACCTATCTAACTATTGATCTAGCTTCCTATATAGCTTCCTACCTAGTTACCTATCTAACTACCTGCCTGGCTTCCTACCTAGCTACCTATCTAACTATTCATCTAGCTTTCTACCTAGTTACCTATCTAACTATTGATCTAGCTTCCTATATAGCCTCCTACCTAGTTACCTATCTAACTACCTGCCTGGCTTCCTACCTAGCTACCTATCTAACTATTCATCTAGCTTCCTATCTAGTTACCTATCTAACTATTGATCTAGCTTCCTATATAGCTTCCTACCTAGTTACCTATCTAACTATTGATCTAGCTTCCTATATAGCTTCCTATCTAGTTACCTATCTAACTATTGATCTAGCTTCCTATATAGCTTCCTACCTAGTTACCTATCTAACTATTGATCTAGCTTCCTATATGGCTTCCTACCTAGTTACCTATCTAACTATTGATCTAGCTTCCTATATAGCTTCCTACCTAGTTACCTATCTAACTACCTGCCTGGCGTCCTACCTAGCTACCTATCTAACTATTCATCTAGCTTTCTACCTAGTTACCTATCTAACTATTGATCTAGCTTCCTATATAGCCTCCTACCTAGTTACCTATCTAACTACCTGCCTGGCTTCCTACCTAGCTACCTATCTAACTATTCATCTAGCTTCCTATCTAGTTACCTATCTAACTATTGATCTAGCTTCCTATATAGCTTCCTACCTAGTTACCTATCTAACTATTGATCTAGCTTCCTATATAGCTTCCTATCTAGTTACCTATCTAACTATTGATCTAGATTCCTATATAGCTTCCTACCTAGTTACCTAACTATTGATCTAGCTTCCTATATAGCTTCCTACCTAGTTACCTATCTAACTATTGATCTAGTTTCCTATATGGCTTCCTACCTAGTTACCTATCTAACTATTGATCTAGCTTCCTATATAGCTTCCTACCTAGTTACCTATCTAACTATTGATCTAGCTTCCTACCTAGTTACCTATCTAATGATTGATCTAGCTTCCTATATAGCTTCCTACCTAGTTACCTATCTAACAATTGATCTAGCTTCCTACCTAGTTACCTATCTAACTATTGATCTAGCTTCCTATATAGCTTCCTACCTAGTTACCTATCTAACTATTGATCTAGCTTCCTATATAGCTTCCTACCTAGTTACCTATCTAACTATTGATCTAGCTTCCTATATAGCTTCCTATCTAGTTACCTATCTAACTATTGATCTAGCTTCCTATATAGCTTCCTACCTAGTTACCTAACTATTGATCTAGCTTCCTATATAGCTTCCTACCTAGTTACCTATCTAACTATTTATCTAGCTTCCTATATAGCTTCCTACCTAGTTACCTATCTAACTATTGATCTAGCTTCCTATATAGCTTCCTATCTAGTTACCTATCTAACTATTGATCTAGCTTCCTATATAGCTTCCTACCTAGTTACCTATCTAACTATTGATCTAGCTTCCTATATGGCTTCCTACCTAGTTACCTATCTAACTATTGATCTAGCTTCCTATATAGCTTCCTACCTAGTTACCTATCTAACTACCTGCCTGGCGTCCTACCTAGCTACCTATCTAACTATTCATCTAGCTTTCTACCTAGTTACCTATCTAATTATTGATCTAGCTTCCTATATAGCCTCCTACCTAGTTACCTATCTAACTACCTGCCTGGCTTCCTACCTAGCTACCTATCTAACTATTCATCTAGCTTCCTATCTAGTTACCTATCTAACTATTCATCTAGCTTCCTATATAGCTTCCTACCTAGTTACCTATCTAACTATTGATCTAGCTTCCTATATAGCTTCCTATCTAGTTACCTATCTAACTATTGATCTAGATTCCTATATAGCTTCCTACCTAGTTACCTAACTATTGATCTAGCTTCCTATATAGCTTCCTACCTAGTTACCTATCTAACTATTGATCTAGTTTCCTATATGGCTTCCTACCTAGTTACCTATCTAACTATTGATCTAGCTTCCTATATAGCTTCCTACCTAGTTACCTATCTAACTATTGATCTAGCTTCCTACCTAGTTACCTATCTAATGATTGATCTAGCTTCCTATATAGCTTCCTACCTTGTTACCTATCTAACAATTGATCTAGCTTCCTACCTAGTTACCTATCTAACTATTGATCTAGCTTCCTATATAGCTTCCTACCTAGTTACCTATCTAACTATTGATCTAGCTTCCTATATAGCTTCCTACCTAGTTACCTATCTAACTATTGATCTAGCTTCCTATATAGCTTCCTATCTAGTTACCTATCTAACTATTGATCTAGCTTCCTATATAGCTTCCTACCTAGTTACCTAACTATTGATCTAGCTTCCTATATAGCTTCCTACCTAGTTACCTATCTAACTATTTATCTAGCTTCCTATATAGCTTCCTACCTAGTTACCTAACTATTGATCTAGCTTCCTACCTAGTTACCTATCTAACATTTGATCTAGCTTCCTATATAGCTTCCTACCTAGTTACCTATCTAACATTTGATCTAGCTTCCTATATAGCTTCCTACCTAGTTACCTATCTAACTATTGATCTAGCTTCCTATATAGCTTCCTGCCTAGTTACCTATATAACCACTCACCTAACTTCCTACCTAGCTATCCATCTAGCTAACAACCTAGCTTCCTGTGTTTTCATCACCTGTTAGCAGCCAGCGCTTCCAGCTGGCAGTGTAGGATTTCTCCATTCTTTGCTTTCATCAGAGCTTCCAGGTTTTCCTCCAGAACCTTTTTCCGTCTCCGGGCCTGACGGAGAACCTGACCCGCCTCCTCCAGCACAGAGTGGCTCCCGGGCTTCCTCTGGATCGGTCCAGGATGGGAGCGCTGGTTAGACAGACCTCTGGAATCCTGGGTGAAGCTAGGATGAGTCAGCGATGGTCCAGCCTGAGACGGTGTTGGAACGGGCTGCAGATCCCGGGAGCTGGGCGGATTAAGCTCTGACTGCAGCTGCTGACCCACATGTTGCTTATTATGCTGGACGTGAGAAGTGTTTTGGGAATCATTTTGTTGAAGATCGTTTGGACGGCTCTGGCTTTGCTCAGCACTAGACAGGTAGAACCAGGCCTGCTTGGGCTTGGATTTGCTCTGTTGGGGCTCAAGATGTTTATTTGGAATCTCACTCTGGTCTGGAGCAGGAAAGCTGAATTGTGGAGTCTGATCTTGCTGCTGGATGGAAGACAGATCGTCATAAACACCAGAACTCCGTCTCTTTACCTGAACACCTTTTAATTATCAAAGATTTAGTTCCTTCTGAGCATATTTAACTGATTATTTTACATCAACTGACGCCCCGACACTGCAAGTAGAGTATTACTAATTACTCACAGTCAGCAGCATCTTTATCTCCGTCTTCAGACTCTCCATCTGCTTCAGCATATCACTTGCTCTCCTTACCGCTTGCTGAGTGTCATTTGCCAAAGACTGAAGGTGAAGGCTTTCAGCCAGAGGGGCCTGCACACACAGGTTGTCCCTGAAGAAAAGAAACGACCCACAAAATAAATAAAGGAAAAGAAACTGCTCCACGATGGATACAGAACATTTAGGCAAACCATTTCTATCAGAAATGGTTTCTATCAGAAAGTTTATGGAAATGTTCATCGGAACCAAATTCATCCACTAAAATAAATTGAAAAAAAAAATGCATAGTTTATATTCATTTAGCATAGAAGCACCCTTATCTTAAACGTTAAAAAGCACCAATCTGACCAAGGCCATAAAGATATGAGACCAAGACCTGGAACAAACATGTCAAGATTGAACTTAGGACCTCCATCCCCAATAAGTACAACAGGAGGCTGCAATGCTTCAACAGCCACAGATTCAATCTGTATACAGAGAATAAACATCACGGAAATAATCTTTACATGTCAAAGTGTTTTCTAAGTGATATAAAATTCTCTCCAGATGCTAACAGCCACCCAGAATAATCAGAAGAGCATATTAGATCATAAATGACAAGCAGAAATGACAGAGAATAAGAACTGAAGCTGTTTGAGGAAAAGCCTTTTCTTTTTTTGGTCATCATAACTTCCAGGAGTTTCCTGAGTGGAGAAACGGAGACAATGGATTAAATTGAGCTTTGACACAAACCGCCTTTAAATGTTGAGGGTTTGGGATTATTTCTACCCTTATTGATCTTAAGTTTATTCCTGTAGATTTTTTCAGATAGATTCAAGTCTAGTAATGAGCTCGGCCATTCTAGCGGCTTAACTTTTATTGAAACTAAACTAAGCCAATTAAACAACCAGATGTTGGAATAAAGCCCACAGCATGATGGTTCCTCCTGTTGGGATGGTCTCTCTGCGTGATTAAACTTCCTCCTCTAAGCCCCACGTTTAAAGTTAACCACAATTTCACTGGTTTGTCAGTGAAGGCAGCAACCCCTCAACAAGCTCTTTTCCTTCAGCAGTAGAGTCTAGTGCAGCGAGTTTCCACACAGGCCACAGTACTTTAATGTGTAGAAGCTGTATTTGCCATCTCCTTCCTCTCCATTCTTCTCTACAGCGGATTTATTATCCTGTCTGAGGGCAGCAGGTTCTGGCTGATTTACGGGGAAATTATGTTTCCAGTCAAATGTCAACCAAAGCTAATGCTGACTTGTACATTACTAATTTAACTTGTTATTGGACAGCAGGGTGGACTTAATTATTCAATTCAGTTTATTTCTATAGCGCCAATTCACAACACATGTCATCTCAAGGCACTTTACAGTTCACCAGATCATCCAGTCAAATTGATTCAGCTTTTTATCTAAAGAAAACCAGTTGATTGCATCGACTCATTGACTCGAACACTAGTGTTGCTCCTCTCAAGATAATCAAGGCTCAACGTCCTTCTTTTGGTTTTAACAGCCATTTATTGTGGACACGTCTTATAAAGCCCCAAAAAATGCCGTCAGAACTAAGAAGGGAAACAGAAACCCAGATTAGCTCAAAACAAATAGAAAGGTTTACACAAATTAATCCAAGTAAAACAAAGTCGTACCTCATTGGCCGCATAAACTCCAGAGGAATAAAGATAATTTATTTAGCTTTTCTCACAAAAACAGTCTTAAAGCTTTCCTGTGAAACTACTTGAAAAAACAGGTGCAAAAAAATAACTGTGTCAATCAATCTTTCCCATGGGCAACAACATGACATGCGGAACAAAAAACATAGGTTCCTCTTTACATTTTAATGCGCCTTTTAAACAATGTACATAAACGACATAAATTCACTGAAATTTATTTATTTATGATGAACTTTTAATTTCAACACTAGTATGTATCAACTCTTGTCTTTAACTAAATATTAAAATATTTAAATGAGTTGACTCTGATGGCAGCTAGAACTAGATAAGTCTTTTTCTTTTTAAATAAGTGCATTTGTTCTCAGATTGAGGAGGTAAAAGAGACACTTTGTAAATGGATCAAGACAATTTACTCTTAAAATAAGAAAAAACAATTGCATTGTCTCATTTCAATGCTTGTTATGTGATTACCGTATTTTCACGACTATAAGGCGCACTTAAACGTCTTTTTTTTCCCTCAAAATGTGCGGTGCGCCCTTTGGTGCGGTGCGCCTTATGTGTGTTGTAACTGCGACTTTTGAGACCACCTCATTGAGGAGATGATGAAAGAGTGGCTGAATGTAAGGAGACCAGGTGTTTTTTTTCCACTCATCACCATCGCTGTTAATATGTGACTCCATGCGTGCCCATCTCACAGCTGATGTGAAAAACATGGGGAAACAAATTAACGCTGTGCTCGCTGTTCAACCGCTCGACATCGGTGTGAACCGGACCCAGCAGGTGCAGCAGAAGCAGCGAGTTGACGCGCGTATAGGTGCAGCAAAAAGCGCTTTTTGAGCAGCAGGCGCAGCGCCTCGGGAGCGTTTAAGTATCTGACGCACCGCCAACGCGCTGCTGCTGCTCGAGATGGAAAAATTGAAGTTTTGCTGCTGGACGCGCCGCATCAACCAATCAGAGAAGCTGATCTGGGAGCTGACAGCGAGACAGACACAGCGCTCTGATGACATTAACGCAAATGAAAAAGGCTGGAGATGATGAAAGGCAGGTGTATGTGAGGAGACCAGGTGCTTTTTTCCACGCATCACCATCGCTGCGTGCCCATCTCACAGCCGATGTGAAAAAAAAAGGTGAATCAAATGGACGCTGTGCTCGTCGTTATCTCGGGGGTCTGACAAAGGAACTTCAACCGCTCGACACTCAGTGTGAAGCGGCCGTTCAAAGTAAGGCTGCGAGCGGCGTGGGAGCAATGGATGACAGACGGAGACCACAGTTTCAGGATAAGTGGAAGGCAGCGCCGGGCAAGTTACGCCACCGTTTGCGGATGGATTGTAGATGCTTGGACTAACGTGTCTGCTGGCTCTGTTGTTCAAGCTTTTGCAAAAGCCGGCATTATTTCTGAGGAGCCGCGCTGCACGGAAAGTGACTCTGACAGCGAAGAAGGGGAAACTGGCATGTCTGATTTAGCGCAGCTGTTTAATTCAGAAACAGAGGATGATGACTTTGATGGGTTCGATTCAGTGGCGGCCGGCCCATAGGGGGCGCTGGGGCACCGCCCTCCCTGATAAGAAGAGAGAAACGTAAAATATATTTTTAGAAATTAACTCATAAATGTCAGTTTTATTCTCTAGACTGTGTACCTATAAGCAAAACAAATTATATAAACTAAATTTCCCTATCTACTGTCATTAATTTGTGGATTTCCACAGACAGACTCCTACCGTCTCTGTTCTGGGGGCGCCTATCAGACAGCCCCACATATGCAGAGAATCTGTCAATCATGTACTATTGCTAGGTGAATTTAATGGCCAATCAGCGTCTCGGAACTTTATGGTCTTGGGGCGCTGAAAATACTGCGCTTTAACAGGCTTCTGAACCCAAGCACAGGTGCAGACAGTTAGAGGGAAGATGGCGAATGTAACGAGCGAGATGCAGCTTCCACCAAATTCGGTGAGATCCTTATTTATCTACCCGTTTGCCAGAAGAACATCCCTGTTGTAGGATATGAACATTTCATGTTATGGTTATTGTGACTGTGACGAATCCACCTCGTCGCTTAAAACAACCTCTCTAACTTTGCACGCCACACACACATTCCTGTTATACTGTGTTTGTGAGGACCAATACACTCGCGCTGAGCCAAGTAGCTCCATGAACGTAAAACACACAAGCTGTTCCTGGTTACCTGCTGGCATATTGAGGGTGCACACTTAATATTTCAGTGGGGTTAGCCGTGTGTGTGTGTATGTGTGGGTGTGTGGGGGGTGTGGGTGTGTGTGTGTGTGTGTACGTGTTTATGCTATGGGGACTTGTCATCTTCAGTCTGGCTGCGTCTTTGCTGGGTTCAAACCCAGTTTAGTGTAATTGAATAAGTCAATGAATCTGTGTAAAAGAATGAAGTTGTAAAAATGATTTGTTTTTGTACATCAATTGTTTGTGGAGGTAATATATGGACAAAACTGATTAATGAGAAGAAATCAGAAATAAGAGAGCCTGAGGTGAGGGGCTTAAACTATTAAATGAGGGCTGTGGGAAGAAAAGCAGCAATTTTTGTTTTCTGTTTCTTTGTTACATTGCTGGTAACTGGAGGGAGGCTGAGGCCCAGAGTATCTTGTATATGTTTAGTTTCTTTTGCACCCTGTTTTGAGTTTTTGAGCTCAATAAATCACCAACACCGGTAACCCGACTGAGCCTGGATTCTTGGAGGCCAAAGAACCCCGTCACAGTGACCCAAATCATCACTGTTACTGTTATTATATAGTAAATTAAATCATTACTGTTAAATTGTATGTATTGTCCAATTGTTTATTTGAATTCTTATTCCGGATTAGTTGGAGACATACACTAGGCTATATCAGCCCCACCAAAAATATTTTTCACCAGCCGCCACTGGTTCGATTAATACTTTGTAATAAATACATGAATAAAGCACAAACATACTCAGTTTTGCTCCCGCTCTATTTTTCTACCTGAAAACTTAATTCAACAGCAGCCTCTGGGCGGGTCTCCTCCTCTTCAGCGCGGTGGCTGGCAGGTGTTTTTTCATCTAAATAATCTAAATCTTGCAGCTATATTTGCTGTGATCAGTGGGAACAAAGTAGTTTTAATATGTTTTTAAGTGAGAAAGGCCACCTGAAAACTTAATTGCAGTCAGTTCATCCAGATTATCTATTTCTGTCGGAGGCGCTCAGACCCCCACATACCAGCGGTGCACCGACAGCAGAAATCCCTTCAACAGCAGCCTCACCGCGGCGGCTGGCAGGTGTTTTTCATCTAAATAATTTAAACTGCAGGCACCAGGATACCGGCAATAAAAGCGAACATATTCCGTCGGCAGGTTTCAGGATTTTAAGTTAATTTAGGAGTCATCACAGCTCTGTCATCTGCGATGTGTCTGTCTCACGGCTCGCAGGTTTGATTAATACTTTGTAATAAATACATGAATAAAGCACAGTCATACTCAGT